TGGTAGTATTGGCATTTGTAATGTAATGGAAGTGATTGTCATTATAATTATTCTGGTACATGAACATTTCAAGTCCCCATTTGCAAGCGCAGCTCTTGAAGTGTTTAAGGGACTACATGTACATTTATGGGAGTGAAGGACAAATCAAGAAACTCAGAAAGCTTATAGAGGGTTTGCATGGCTGCCATCTTGCAGGCCAGTGCTTTTGTTCCACTGGGTATGCACAATGGAGGATTCCCTGTGGAACGAAACAATTGCCCTGCAAGATGGCTACCACTCAAAGCCTCTGTAGAGTTTGCTGTTTCAGACACATGGTTGTCTTGCCTTGGTACCTGATGACCTAAGCGGGGTGAATGGTTTTGCAACCCTCCCTCACCCCCACAATTTATAGTTCCCCCCCCCTGCATGGTAGAATGGCATGACCCCAGCGAATGGCACCTGGATCCATTTGAACTACTCGTGGGATCTTGAAGGTTGCGTTTTCACTTTGGGGTGAAAGTGAAAAGAAACAAATTCCCTTCTATTCAACTTTTAGATCGTTGTTACACATGTACTGGAGTAATTAATTTAACAGCTGTACACTGTGATCATTGTCATCATCCACGTTCAGTCTTGTGGCTTTCACTGGAATTTTAAATATACACAGTTGATTCAACACTATTCCACACTACAATTGCCCACATACCAGCACTTTCATCGGTATCCTACAAAGGGAATGTTATATTCAGTCCTGCTAAATTACATGCAACTGACTTAACTCAAAACTTGAGCTGGAGCACTGGAGGTTGTTGTTTGCTTAAGTTTTAATGAATGTAACCCTGGTCAATGTTACACGTATCATTGCTATGGATGACTTGACTTCATGCTTAAAATGTTGGAAGGATGTTATAATACACGCGCATGTGATTCCATTTTTAAATAACGTATATGCAGGACATTGAGGCCCAACACACTGTACGTTTTCCTGTGGCGTGGGAGGTTGAGTCCCATTGCAGTATATTTTGAATGGAAACACTGGCCCTGGTACTTCAGGCCTGAAATAAAGAGATAACGAATCATCCTGGCTACTTCCTCTTTCCCTCTGCCTACCCCCCCTCCCTTCAGCAGCCAGGGACTTTACAGGGCCCTCCAGCCTTGGAGTTGTGGTTTCTGTGCTGGGCCGGCAGCTGCAGAAACCAGATTGGAAGAAAATCCTTCCTGACCATTTCCTCAAAGTCCCATCCTTTTATGTACATGTACCTCTGGCACACGCGGGCATGTTGGACAATTGAGAGCCCAATTCCTGTCATTTTTCTGGAACCTGCAAGCGTGCAATTAATGCCCAAAGCAGGTTTTCGTTTCAGGCGTAAATTCAGGCAGTGTTCAGCGCTTGAATTTCAGAGGGGAAATAACATTTGCCAGACCTCCTAAACTTGAAATGAACCGACCATATTTTATTGCAGCTGTTCAAATAATATGAAACTGCTCATACCGCATGTATTTGTGTATTTGTTTGGGGGTACTGTTTTGTTTTTCTGAGGTTGTAATTTTCAGAGCTCTCCTTTATATTACAGGTTTCTCTTGAAAATCATTTCAGTATTATATGAATGTGCACGTTTGCAGCCACTGATTCTGGGTGTTAATACAGTGCTAAATTCGACTGTATTCTCTGCCAGTACATGTAGCTTGGGATTACATTTTAAGTTTGTACTTTTTGACATTTGGTGATAACTGCAAGGAACAGCTGGAACCCACGAGTAGCAGTTTGGGCTGGTTTCAGCTCTGATCACTTGTACAGACCGACAAGTCTGTAGGAAGAGGTGTGTCATTTATGGTCCATAAACATGTACATCTACACCCACATTGGTACATGTCTGTTTTCTGTCGAGTCATCTGATGACGTGGACATCGCCTGACTCTTCCGTTTCTTGTGGGTTTCACTGAAAGTGAACCTCAGTAACATTCAGTAGTGGCGCTGCATTTTTGCCAGGATTTGATTACAGGTGTCCGCATTGGCCTTGAAGGAAAAATCAAGAAATGTCTGTCAGTAAGGGAGGGGGGAGGTTCAGCACTTACGATTGTTCGGCAGTCAAGTCCACAAGCCTGTGCAAGCCCATCACAAGCCTGTGCAAGCCCATCACAAGCCTGTTCCTCTATTCCTCTTTCATTGTTGATCCTGCTACAAGTTTACATAAAAGTACATTGCTGTTGAAAGCTACATGTACATGTAAGTGTGAATTGGAAAGAATTCCATGACGTTCATGTTCTCAAGGCGTGAAAATAATTTCCCACTTGCGTGAAAATGTTTTCCCATTTGTGGAAAAATCTATGAGGATGTTTCCCACTTTGCCAAAATCTGTGAAATTTCTTTTCCCTATTGTGTCAAAATGAGTGAAAATCTTTTCCCACTTGTGAAAAACTATGACAATTCTTTCTCAACTTGTGGGCAAATTTGTGATAATCTGATCCCTCTGGGAAAATCTGCGAAAAATCTTTCTCCACTTTGGGAAAATTGTTCACATTTTGTTAAATAAAAAATTCCCTAGGAAGAGAAGAAGTGTGAAGAGAGTTTCCCCATTCCCACCTTAACTGTCGATTGCAACGTTCATTACACATACATGTTCATGTATGTACACGGGGTCTTCTGACGGGACTTGTCAATTGCCCCCTCCCCCCAGCAGGTACTGGTATAATGAAAAATGTCCTGAGAGAAAGTTTTGCAAGCTTAAAATGACCATCGTACTTCTGCCGACTTGTACAACGTGCAGGGTAATGTTCAACACCCTAGATTGCTGTTGTTTCTTATTCGTTGATTTCGTCCCTGAAGGAGGGACGAAATCAATCCAGTCATGGTAGTCATGTTGATTTCCTCTGGGGCGTAGTGTTGCACTATTTTTAAACAATACCAACAGCTGACGTGCTATGCTAATGCTTTACATCACAGCATGGGATCAGCTTGATAAGGTTGCGTCATTCAATCATTTGAGAACGTCTGTCCTCTGGATCAGCTTCATATCCTGTACATTGTTTTTGCCCATTCAACAACAGCAGGCCTTAAAATGATCTCTAGATTTATCTCAGGCCCGGTTCAAATTTAGACCGGGGGTGTTACTTTTCGTGAATTGAAAAGTACATGTAGGACACCCAAGTTGTTGCTCAAGGTACATGTATTTGATTTTTGTGTGCATATTTGGATTGACAAAATAGAGTGTCCCAAACTCAGCATGCAGGGTTCACAAAGACAGTCCCCTTCTTGTTGCAATAAACACACCGTCATCTTGGTCAATTTACTAAGTGACACTCAGATAGTTGCACAGGTGTAGGCAGATTGCTGGAGTATTGCTGTCCCTTAAGACAGTTGTATGTCCATGTACAGGTACCAGGTACCACTTTCACATTAGTGAAACTAGAGGAGGTTGCATCTGGGCCCAATTTCACGGCACGGCTTACCGCAAGCGAAAAATTGGCGGTTACCGTAGCAGAAAGTTCTGTGCTAAAGGCAAACATATTTCACGGGTTAGTGAGGAATTTTGGCTTGTGCGCATGCATACATCCCGTAACTAAGGATTCTGTGCTTAAAGGGTTAGCGCAGACTTTTCCTGCTTGCGCGGCTAGCACGGAATTGAGATTGTAAATGCAGAATTCTGCGGTAAGCAGCGCCATGAAATTGGGCCCCAGTGCCCCATGATCCCTTCCACTTGTTGAGTTATACAATACTTGGAAGGGGAAACTTGTTTCCCCGTTTTGATTGTGCTTCTAACTGGTTGTTACATGTACACCGGCATGTAGTAACTGCAAAGACAGAAGAGTTTTGCTAAAAGGAGAAAAGGAATACATGTAATGCCCTGCTTGTGTACTTTGCGGGATTTCCACAGTCATTTAAAATTTCAGTGAAAAGTTGTCCTGAAAAGCAATGGAAAATCGGGGGGGAGGGAATACGGTGTCTGGGAATTCCGTTGTCAGAGAGAAAAAAAGTCGTGGAAATCCAGGACTTGCAATGATTATTTTTAACGGGCTGCTTGAGATGTGGTAACGGAATAATGATAAATGTACTGGCTGCATCATCCTTGTCAGTCTGTACATGTTGTAGTTACCATGGCAGTCTTCCAGTTCATAATGCCAAGAAACTTTGCTCTACAACATGACATTAAAGACTCTAGAAATTGTCGTTTATGACTTGCTGTTTTTTACTTTTACCTCTGTTCCGGATGTCATCCCCCATCCCGTTTTTGTAAATGCAGGATCTGCCACTTTCTTAGAAAAATGCAGATGCTGTATTAAACCAATGTTCCATGATTACCACTCCCACGTAGAGCAGATTGTGTAACCCTCCAAAGCTATTATACCTGTAAGGGGGTCGTGGGCCTGATGCTTGCTCCGGGCATGCCCTCATGGAGTATCATACCGCACATGTAGTCCCGTTTGGGTCCAGACCAAATTCTTTCTTGAGCAGGATTTTTCCTGGACTCCATGAATTTTGTATCTTGTACTGAATGTTTAGGGGCTTAGTCATGCAGGCTGTGCTGCTGTTTTTTTTGCATTTGGTTCAATGAAACTATGTGTACTAGGGCTTACAGTATAATCATTATTCATTTCACCGTTTGGGAAAAAAGTCGCATCTTGTTTACTATCGAAAGGCCTGAAAATCTGCAGTATTAGTTGGACAACCCTTCTGCTGGGTATTTTCTGGATTTCTCTTCATCGCATGCAGCAATAATTAAGTTTGCTGCTTTTAAAAGCTGGGGAGAGATGATTTTAAGAAGTCACAAATTAGTTTTGACATCTTTGAAAAATCTGTGCGTGTAATATTTTTTATCTGTTGGCAACATTAATGAGAATTACATTGTACGTGTGCATGGGCTGAAAAACTAGAAAATTTCTCCTAAGAGAACCGGAAAGAATGTGACAGTCAGATGAACGGAGTTTATTTCATATTCCTCTGTTTAATTTCTGCTTTGCAGAAACGAGTCTCTGATATTTACTTTTAGTATTTTGTCATTTCTGTGTTTGTTTGCTTGCAGTTTCACGTCTCCACTGTGAGAGTGAAAGCTTCAAGATGGATCTCATTCTGGATGTGAACACCCAATTATATCCAGTGGACCTTGGTATGTACACTGTACATGTATGTTTGTGGAATATGATTCTCCTCATTCCTTCCTCTCCTTCACCCAACATACTGCATTGTGGTTTTACATATCGTCACAAGTTTCACGAAGAGACACTGGTCTCACCGGAGTCTCGCTGGAGAGTAAGACGTGTTGGTTTCAAGAAAATCACATTTGAAGTTGGTCTCTTTTTCAAACACTTAACTTAACCAATGCAGCTTCATGAAAGAGGGGAGCTTAAATGAGACAAAGCTACAAGGTAACAGGTCCTGTTTATAGAAGTCAATTCAAATTGTTTATTTTGGAAATAAATACCTGTACATTTGCCTTTTCGTGAAAATGCTAAAATTTGGCGACTTTTTGTCTCTTTGTGAAAAGGGCATGCGTAGTACATTTCTGGAGTCAAATTTGTCTCTTCCTGAAAACTGGAAAATAAGATTTACCCGTGGTTTTGCCCACATTTTTGGCGAACGTTATGTCTGTGGAAGACAAGTCTGTCTCTTCATGGAAAGAAAAATGCGGTGTAGTTGAATTTTGGTCCACAGAGATTACCATAATTTGGCTGATTTCAGTAGATTTGGTAAGAAATTATTACACCAAGTTATAGGTATCGCATAGCCCAGTTGATTTTGCCCCAAAACAGAAATTTGAAAAATATGGTGCCAATTTGTCTCTTCATGAAAATGGTGACAATATTGATATTGTACTTTCACCTGCCCAGAGCTTCTGGGATCACGAAGTCACAAAGAACGAATGCTTGAGCACCAAGAACATACATGCACATGCTCCTCAAGAAAACTTGGCTGTTAGCCTACATGTACATGTAAATATTGTAATCTTGGTTGCTCGTGAGCAGCTCTTTTGCCAG